TCCGTTAGCCGACCTCAGTCACCTTTAGCTGACCCCGATCACCTCTAGCCGACCTCAGTCACCTTTAGCTGACCCCGATCACCTCTAGCTGACCTCAGTCATCTTTAGCTGACCTCAGTCACCTTTAGCTGACCTCAGTCACCTCTAGCTGAACTCAGTCACCTCTAGCTGACCCCAGTCACCGTTAGCTGACCTCAATCACCTCTGGCTGACCTCAGTGACTTCTAGCTGACCTCAGTCACCACTAGCTGACCCCGATCACCTCTAGCTGACCTCAGTCACCACTAGCTGACCCCAGTCACTTTTAGCCGACCCCAGTCACCTTTAGCCGATCCCAGTAACCTTTAGCCGACCCCAGTCACCTTTAGCCGACCCCAGCACGTCGGCATAGCTGAACCCTCCTACGAACGCGATACCGGTGAATCTGTCAAGTGTGACGGCTCCTGCACATATGTCCTGCATTGTGACGTCCCATGCAGTGAACCCTGCTGCCACCATCGCCGCCGCCATCTCACGGTCGCCGTTACTGCCCTCCTCGCGCACGATCGCAACCAGGGGGCACCCGTCATCTGAAGCTAGTGCACGATGGCATGCGAGTGAGATGTGATTTGTGGAATTTTCTAGTGAATATAATGCACACGTACATTTACCTGCAACAACGTAAAGGATGACCTAAGGGTCAAATGTCAGCTAGTATGCAATTGAGAACAGAATTCCCGAGCGCACCTGCAACCCCACGTGGGATGAGCTCTGGGTCGAAGGTCAACATGTACTGTGGCACCCCCTTGCAGCGCAGCGCCGCTCGCTCACGGTCGACACATGTCGGGTTGGTCTGAAGACGCTCCAGCTGAAAACTTGTCTCCTCCCACAGATCCCGGAGACTAGCTGTCGTTTCCATGATAACAAGCTCCCCATTCACGCAAATCTGTGTAAAGAACAGATGTAATAACGTCCGTCATTCCAGTCCAGCAGCCGTCATCGTAATGCCACCTACAACACATGTATATAGTCAAACCTGCATAAAGGAGTCACTCGGAGGAAATAACAAAATCATTGTTTATTGACAGGTGGCCATTTTGTAAATGTGGTCTCACCATATAACTGCTACTCAAATGGAACACCCGTAAAGTGTCCTTTATAGACAGGTGTCCCTTCTATAGAGACGTCTGCTTTCACAGCTTTGCCTGTATACACACACATGGACGTGCACGCACACATGCACGCACATACGCACGCACTCACGCACGTACACACATGCATGCACGCTCGCACACATGCACATATATAATAACACGATATCGTGCACAATTTTAGGCTAACATACATTTCTCTGCCACTACCTTGCACATGCTGGGATTCTCGGTGGAGTTGCATGAGCCAACCACAGAGCAGGACACATCGCCATACGCCTCCATCACTCTGCTCACGTCCAATTCATCAACTTCGAGCACGATTCTAAGCTCTTCAGCGAAGAGCGTGGCCATCGTATTGGTGCTGCCCTCTAGCTGCACGTTGATCGTGCAGTTACCGGCGAATGCCATCTCAAGCAGACAAGTGACTATTCCTCCATCGCTCACATCGTGTCCAGACACAATAACGCCATCTGTCACAAAACACCGTAATTATACCACACTGCTCGATGACTGTGCAACACAATTCTCAGGTCTTCTAAGCATCTCCTGGCTGGACTTTCTAGTACACGGTCTCTGTGATCATGACATGGTATTCAGTAGTGAGAGGTGAAGTTAGAATACCTGCAATGAGGGCTTGTGTGGCCTTAAACGCTTGAGCGAACTCTTCAGGCAAATCCATATCCGGCGATTCGTCTCCTATCTGACCATAGCACTGAGCAAGGGCGCTGCCCCCAAGCCGGTTACCACGGCAACCAAACCGAACATGCAGCAGTGTACCTAAAACAATTTGTGAGATGATGACACCGTATATCGTGTAAAATACCACCACAGGTGTTGATTAATGTATGTTTCAGTGTCACGGTTACTGCAGCGAATAAATCGCTGTGTTGCTGAAGGAGTGGACTCACTATTTCCTCCTGGGCATTTGAGGTCAGGTGTGACTGTAGCACAGATGTCCGGGCAAGCTGCATATACCGACACAACCAACGAACCTAAAAATGTTACAAATGACATGTAGCATATACCGACACAACTAATGAGTGGTATAGCTTCCCTATACCATAATGCTAATATATGAATGCATGCTCTTGTAAGATAGCTCTAATAGTAGATGCACAAGTATGCGTACAAGGTGGCACAGGTAAGTAAGTAGGTAGGAAGGTAGGTGGGTATGGGTAGGCAGGCTGGGAGGTAGGTAGGTAGGTAGGTAGGTAGGTATTATATGTATAGGTATAGGTATAGGTGTAGATATAGGTATAGGTACAGATACAGGCACAGGTATAAGTATATGTATATAGGTATAGAAATTGTACAGGTATAGACATAGCTATAGCCTGCATATATTACCTGGAGCCTTCACTGTCTCATTGCCCACCCTGGCAGCCATACTCAGTGAATCTTTCCCGCCATCGATGGCAACTCCTAACTGTCTCATAGTCGTGCACAGAGCGCTGCAAGCATCGTAGAGGGCAGCACCTTCCCCTGGTAGCTTGGCAGCCCACATCCAGTTACCACTACACTTGACATCCTGTGTGCAGCAGTCAATCATCATACAACACTCTTCTACTTATATATTACTTATTATATCATCTATTATTGTATTATCTACTTATATATTACTATATTACATCCAGCAAGAAAATCCTAGCTTCAATGATGAATCACTGGTGCTCGGCTAAACTTCCTTAAATTTTTGTAATGTTGGGTCAACTTGATATTTGAGACGCCTAACTTAGAATTATTAAACATCAATAAAACGTTATTAAAAATTAACAAAATCAGATTTCACTGCGTCAGTAGCTCGAAAGCCGAGACCGCTTGACCGACTCTACGCTTACCTCGAGCGCTGTGACGCGGGCGAACACGAGGTTGGTGAGCGCCTCGCCGAGCGCCATGCGAGCCCCGCACTGCGTGCTCACGAGCCCCTTGATTGGCTGCTCGCCGACGGCGGTGGCGGCGCCGCGTGACCCGCGGTAGGCGAGCGCGACGACGGCGACGTCGGCCAGCGGCGTGTGCAGCGGGCCGACGCACTGCTGCTGCGCGACGAGCCCCCCCACAGAGCGGTCGACCTTATTAGTCAGGTAGCGCTTGCTCGCCACAGCCGGCAGCCGCAGCACCCGCCGCAGTGCTGCCATCACGGTGGCGCCCTCTGGCAGGTGGAGGGGTTGCAGCCGCGACACGACGCGCTCCAGGTGGAAGGTCTTCCTCGGCATGCGTCCAAGAACGAGTGACAGGTCGAGCTCGACCGGCCGGAGGACAGAGCCGGACAGAGAGCGGTCGGACGAGAGAGTGATCGAGTTGAGGTGACCATTGACGGCTTGACCATTGACGGCCTGACCGTTGATGGCTTGACTGTTCGCTGGGTCGCCGGTGGACGGTGCGAGGGGGGGACGTGGGGTGGAGTCACCAGTGGACGGTGCGAGGGCGGGACGTGGGGTGGAGTCGCCAGTGGACGGTGTGAGGGTGGGACGTGGGGCGGAGTCACCGGTGGATGGTGTGAGGGTGGGACATGGGGCGGAGTCGCCGGTGGACGGTGCGAGGGCGGGACGTGGGGCGGAGTCGCCGGTGGACGGTGCGAGGGCGGGACGTGGGGCGGAGTCGCCGGTGATGTCGCGGTGGGAGAGGTGTTGCTGTATCTGTGCGATTTGTTGATGATCCAGCGCAGCGTTGTCGGTGACACGACTCTCTACCTCGTGCACGATCTCGCTCCCTACCTCTAATATCACCTGCAAGCATAAATTACAGATGATGATGCGGAGAGATCCAATCACATGGTCGGTTAATTTAGTAGTTAATTATTACCATTGTTAACATACATATCTATACTGTGTACAGTCAAAGCTATATACAAGGGTCAAGCAAAACCTCAAAAGTGTCCATTACAACAGGAGTTAAGAGGTGTTTTCACTACTTCTAGGAAATTCCATGTGTCCTATACTGATAGACATCCATTCTATATAGAGGTAGCTGCTAACACTGGGTTGAGTGTAGTATCTATATTATAGCGTGGAAGTACATCTGCCACAAACCTTTGGTCATATATGTAACAATATCATATAGTCACTATCCCAGTTTAGCTTTGCTATCATATATGTACCTATCCCACATAGTTACCTCCATAACATAACCTTGCCATCAGATATGCATCTATACTCCTCTAATGTAAGTTACTACTAAAATCTAGTCCTATCGTTGCCACATACGCATCAATACCGTATCGTTACTTCTATAGTCTCTAACCTTTCCGTCGCCGGTGACCGTCCCTACGAAATCGACGGGGCATTTCTCGCGCACGCAGACCTCCCTAAGCTTGCCTTCGTCGCTCGCACGCACGAGTGCCGCGTTGCTCTCCTGATACTCGGCTCCCCACAGCTCCATCGCGCTGATCGTACGGTCGCCCAACGAAAACTCCGACGCCCGCAAGATGGCGCCAGCGGGCTCCACGATCTCCTTTAACACGTTGCCTAGCAACAACAACAGTAGAGATTACTGCTTGGCGATATCAGACAAGTGCAGTCGAATTTAACTTAATAAAATTCAGTGTTTTCAGACTTGAAAAGATACATTACATGGAATAGAGGACATGAAAACTTCTGATTCAGAAAAAAAACGGAGATTAACTGTGAAAGGTATTCATTATGAGGTTAAGGAGATTAAAAACATGCACATCTTATAAACTTATAGTTATACATATTTACATTATACACAATTACATATTTATTGCTTTATATTTTTTATGTAATTCCAGGAGTTTTGAGTACTTTTCCAGGGCAATAACAACTTTTCCAGGACAATTCCAGTATAAAACACAATATTTTAAAATTCAAGGAGTTTACATGGAGTCGTATCAAATTCCAGGACATTTCCATGCCCGTGCGGACCCTGATATTGCAGTAGGTGCAGGGGATGTTTTTACACTTATGGTACAAAGTGACCAGAATTCGGCAAGTCCTTGTGCAGATAGCAGCTCAGGCATGCTGTGCTACTCAGGAAAAATCTCACAACAATTGTAAATCATCAGCAAATATTGGAATTATCTAAGGTATGCTTGGCCACTCGGAAAATGCTAGTAAAAGTTTCCCAGCGGTTCGCAAGGTACGAGCTGAAAGGTAGGTTTATTCGACAAATTTCGAGGGTACCTCACAGCCTCAGGACAACAGACAGCGAAGACTCATCGTCGAGGTGGCTTCGTGCGTTACCGTTGCCGCCGGCTCCCTGGTCGTGGATGCTGCAGATGGGGTTGCCAGCCTCCATCTCAGCGCACGCGCGAATCACACGATTCAGCTTTTGCTCCATCTCGGCGTCGCCTCGCTGCACCGCTCCGTAGTCCAGCTCTGATTGGTTGTCGCCTTGCACGTGGATGGAGGAGGCGGCGCCGCCCCCAACGCCGATGCGATATACGGGACCTCCCAGCTTCACAACCTGCATGCCTGCAGTATGGAGAGAGAGAGAGAGACATGACTCAGGAGAGTGCCAATGAAGCTACGTCTGTTTGTTTCAATCACCAAAAGCAGAAACATTAGGATGTAATATAGACTCGGAATTTAACTTAATTTGTATTACGTATTAATATATTAGATATTAATAATAATTAATTGTAGTAATTATATTAATACATATTAATATATCATATATTAATAATAATTAATCGTTCGACTAAAATCATTTGAAAAACCAGCAAATTTCTGTCAGCGACTCACAAGTAAACCTACACGGGGAAAAACAGGAAGCATCTGGGCTGAAGTGATCGCTAGCTATACCTGGCTGCGGCGTTTCCTTGGTGACGTGCGCAGCATCAATGCTGCCGATGCCGGCGCTAAACATGATGGGCTTCACCCACTCCCTCCTCTCTCCTCCCGGCAGCCTCACACCGCAGGAGCGCGCGAAGCCAGCCAACACGGGCTCACCAAACTTGTTACCATAGTCCGATGCACCGTCACTCGCCTGGATCGCTATCTCGAGCGCAGGCGCCATGTTCGCAGGGTAGACGAACGATTCGTCCTCCCAGGGTAGAGAGTAGCCTGCGAGGACAGAGACAGACTTACAGTGCTTAATGTAGCCAGCATCAGCAGATGTTACTGCAACAGAACTATTACAGACTATTAGAGCAGGGTAACATACTACCACGACAGATGAATTGTTCTAGGTTTTTGCCTTATATACTGCCTGACACAAATTCCTTCAAGCTCATTGCTTCTTGTCAGTGATTAAAGCCACGTACATGTGCTGAAATGCAAAGTCCACGTGCCATTAAAATAAGAATAGATTCTAACATAGCTTCGTCATCTCAGATTAGACTATAACGTGGAAGCTTCGTTAAGCTGGGGAAGTATTTGAGGGTATGCACCTGGGATGTGGAGGTTGCCGAAGCAGTAGCCAGCAGTGGCAGCAACCACGTGTCCTCCCCTTCCTGCAGCCTGCACGTCCCTGATTCTACCCCCAGTACCCGTTGTAGCTCCCTGAAACGGTGCCACGCCTGAAACACAACCACTGCAGAGTGAAATACATGAGGCAACCAGGGACACATTAATGCGAATAATATTGCTTTATAATTTCATAATTAATTAATTAATTAGTCCATGAATTCAACCAGTTTAGGTTAACAATAATTTTTTTTTTTTATATTAACAGATAAGATTCCTAAGGAAAATGAATGTAAATATCTGTAATCATACACTGGTACATATCATCAACTGGCACATAGCATACAACCTCCAGCGTGCGAAGCAGGCACTATGAAATGAAAGCAATTAGCCTAGGTATGTAAGAAAGGGAAAGCTGGCGCAGGTAAACTCTACCCCTAGCTCTACTACTATATATAGCAGCGTAGCATTGAATGGAAAGCACGTCACATCTTTACGGGGGATAATGCAGAGGATATGTGTGCCGTAGCGACGTACGAGCCTCCACTTTACACGTGTACAAACACACACGATCACAATTTCCCATCGACTCACCGGTGGGAAAGTTGTGTGTCTCCGCGGTAAAGAGAATATGTCTCAGGGATGCTGCCTTCTCCACGAAACAACAGGGTCTGCCGGGATCTGTAGGCTTCAGTATGGTGACAGGGTAGCCCTCAATCGCACTGCACCACGCACAGCACACATCGTATTAGTAGGAAGAATAGATAGCAATAAGAACAATTGCAATGCACCATACAGAGAGGCAACCACGCTGGGAGATACGATGTTATTAAGCAAATAGAGCAGATGCTTGCATTCTGACCACTCCTAGTGCTGCCCCCTTGTGATGTTAGTAAGCAAATAGAGCAGATGCTTGCATTCTGACCACTCCTAGTGCTGCCCCCTTGTGATGTTAGTAAGCAAATAGAGCAGATGCTTGCGTCCCGACCACTCCTAGTGATGCCCCCTTGTGGGCATATCAGCATATGGTACTGATGGGACTGTGTACTGTATACAATGTAGACTGTGGGACATTTTAACAAGTTTAATTATTTATAAGACTGCTAGGGGGCAGCATGCATCGGTGAATAGAACACAAACATGTATCTACTAGGCCTATAACATTGCTAGATGTAATGCAAACATGCAGCTAGCGCATTGTCATTGGCAAATGATAAGTGACTCATATTCTTTCATTCACATGTTATGGGGAGAATAATGTATTGATGTGGCGAGCACAAACCTGCTATTGTCACAGAACTTGATGATGTTATTAGCGTTGCTGCTTTCCTGAGTTGACATGACCATGTCGAGGAGAGAGTCACCACACTCAACGCCATCTATAAACATGCGGCCCTTAAAGAACCAATGCCCTGCTGTGCTCACTGTGAAGACAAATATAAGTACAAAGATAACCTGGTTGGCTGTCCATATATATATATAAGATACGTATGTTACACCCACAGGCACCGTAGCGCACCGCGCTGCCACGCCACGCCACTGCACGCGAGCGCACGCACACACACACACACACACACACACACACACACACTCACAGCACGCATGTATGCACGCTGGCACGCTCGTACGCACACACGCATGCATGCACATTTGCACACATGGATACATACAGTTATATGTGCACATGCAGATTCAAGAACAAATCAACATTATTATATACGTACATATTTATAAACAAATATAAATGGATCATGTATGAAATAATTGAAAACCTCCCAACATTAATCTCTTACCTGTTGCTCTGTGCTAAGTCAAAGCATTCCACACTGGTTGGGTTTCTACCAACATTCTTCGTAAACAGTTTAGTGTAGAAGTCCAAATCCCAATCATCGAATGCCAAACCTACAAACATTAACATAATGTAAGGAAAAACAAGCTAAACTTACCATAATTCAAATCATGGCTTTAACATGTCTAATAATATATAATCTCACCATCCTAAATAAATATTAATTATTCTATAGACACCTCTTGCTATGAACTTGCCTAGTTTTGTGCTTGCCAGCTCCATTGCGCTTCGACCCTGCCCTATCACGTCTACTTCATACCATGGCTCTGGTTTCACATTCAGGTCAAAGCTGCTGAGTGGTTGGAAGTACCTACACTCCGTCATCCTATCATGCAGTGATGCTGCCAACTTCTCTTCCTAAACACGAATTAACACACAGTGTACGACGTGACTCTCAGGTATTAAGAATCATGGAGTAAGTTTATAAACTGTGAAACCCACAGTTGAGCCGAGATAATTTCGCCTTTCACTACAATGTGCGAAGGTCGATATCATTGTTAAATGTGTTTCTCTTCTTGTGATCCACACTTTAAACCCACCTTCCCTATGAAGGCTAGCGCAACCACGTTCTATATATCTCTATATTACTGTATACATACTCTCTGCAATGAGGTAATGAGTAAGAATGATAGCTTACTAGCTGCTTCGTGATTCGTGCATAGTCCCCACTCGCAGGATCTGCTGGTTGAAACCTTAGCAGGAACCTGGTTGACTTCTCGATGCGGTCAACATGTGACAGACCGACAAAGTTACAGATAGACACAGCGTTCGTAGAAAAAGCTGTCGAGAAGTTCAGCCTGAAACGGAATAAATGCTAGACTAGATGCCAAAAGAAAGATTAAGTGATAGAATTGAAGTGTTATATGTATATGTATATGTATATATATATATATATATATGATGTGATATAAGCGTACTATGATAAGCTGATGACATAATTAGTGATGTCTGCACAGGTATGATGAAGAGACGAGGCTTGCTAGATAGATTAGCCATCTTAATAGGAAATTCAATCTTAATAGGGGCTTAATAGGAAATTGAGGTACCACCATGTACCATGGACTAAATGACATTCACCTTGGGCCAATTTCCAGCAAGAGACTGCTGCTATTTTCATTTGTAAATTCTGAAATCGAGGATTTCACGGTCAGCTCTTCCTGATATAATGGATCTGTGAGAAGCCATCTCAACTTGCGCAGAAACCCAGGTGATGCTAGCTGAGATGCATGTGTTGTTGAAGAGATGTAGTAGCATATCTCTGTCTCTAAACCGATCAGCTGTATGCATCCTATAGAGAAACATCATGAAGAATCCATGTTTGGAAAACTGTGACCATTTTGCCACTTAAAATTAATGGAGTGGATTCTAGATCATACCACACTAAAAACTACTGGGCTTGATAATTTTTGACCAAATTTTGAACTAACTGTCTCCACTCTGAACATGCCAACAACAACAAGCACAGCTGTTAGACTTGCTCCTCTTTTTTAACGGCATTAAAAATTAAACCAGACGTGTATATATACAACCACCAGGTGGTGCAACATGCCAGGTCGTAACTCTGTCACTGCATGGTGGCACATCTAATTTAATTGAACATTCTCTTCTGGAACTTTTCATCTACCATAGTCACATATTTTGTCATCCGTTTACCTGCGGCAGCCTGTAGCTTGCTCAGCAGACGCTCCTTTGATTCCTGATTCTGAGAAGAGGACTTGCTGTAGAGCCTCAGCATTGCCATGGCTATTGGAAGCTGCTCGTTTTCAACTTGCTATTGTCTGCCAGTGCAATGAACGTTACTGTAGTAGCACAATGTGTGCAATATTACTAACTTATAATGTATAATTGTATATTAGTATTATTACTATGTAATTTACACATCTCTGCACACAGTAAGTTACGTTCACGGTTCACAGTTGGTTGCACAGACGCGATTCACAGCCTCATAATATGATATGTGACATGTTTCGCGCAACAACCCGATTAATTTAATAATAATCATCAATACTGTAAAGCTATACTATAATATAGGATGAATTAGGTATGTGTTTCAATGTCATATTACAGTGTCTATAGCAACATCTCGCATATAAAAGATCTCGCCACACTCGTTCAAAACTCCCACTTACCTATCTAGCCATAGAAATAGTTCTCAATTATTCCTCTCGATGGCGCCACGAGCGGCACTATAACAATAAAATAAAAGAGCAGCGTCTGTAAGCAGAAAAATATTATGTCTGTTTCCCGATATTTTTTTCCAGAACATCAACAAACAAAATCAAGACTATTATTGCCAATCGCAGTTTGTAAGTAGGTTAAAATACAACTGCTACTATATGGGCACGTGTGTTATGCTCTGATTTCACCCAGCCTAATCGTAATTGGCGTGATCAGGCCTTGTTTGTGTTGTGTCACTTTTGTCACACATGTCAGTCATTGATTTGATCGCGTTTTTTTCCACGTATTACTATTAGTTTAACGATGTGTAGAAAATCCACATAGATTGACACAGCATAAACAGTTGGTGACCCCTGATCACTACACGATAATTGACCCCATCACAGTAGCTAAATTTCGATCAGACTATCTATACTGCCCTACTTCTAGTTCTACTACTGTACTAGTACTACTACTACTAGTACTACTAGTACTACTACTACTACTAGTACTACTACTACTACTAGCCTGTAGCCTTACATAATTGTGACTGTGTCTTACTCTTAGTAATAGTAGAAGCATCGCTTCATTATTCATAGATTCACTGTCACTGGTTCATAAACTGCACGTGATGGAGTTCAAGCAGAGTTGCATCCTCACCATGTGCAGTTGATGCCATCTAATAGTAATAGGTAGCAATACTAACATTAGTGTTAAGCAAGATTGCACCGCGCACCTTTATTGCTAGTTTTGCTATCACTCAGCACGTGACTGTGTGTATGTATCATAAATGAGTCCGTATCTTTGTGATAAATGCACACGTCTACACAAACACGAATATAAATAGTGGATGCAGACAGAAAAGCCATCCCTCGATGCCCAGATGAGAGTAGTAAAAGTATGCCAGTGTAGATTTTTCATGGGAGTACTTCGGAAATTGTTTATGCAACAATTTATAATTACTCTACTGAGTCCTGGAAGCTAACTTGCTGCAAATCAGTTTGTTCACACGTTACTCTATGATAAATAATACCAACATCCCTGGAGAATTTACCAGGGAGGTCAGTCCACGATAAAGTCCCGGTATGGTCATAATACATACAAGCTCCAAATATAAGCAAACACTATCAGTAAAACTTTCTAAAGTGCCGAAGTGATAATGGCTAACTCACTTATCAGTGATTGGCGCGTGTCATGTTTTTTTCTCTCTGTACTATGTACGTGGGCCGGAAACACTGATTCCGCATGCACATACACTCGACAATATTTGCTCGGCAATCATGTTTATTTATACATCGCATGTTTACCTTTACAAGTTTGTAATATTGCACAATGGTTAGGAATATTATTGTAGTACAGACGTTCTGAGTGTTCTCGTACCTTTCCCCGAGAGCTGGAGAAAGAAGTGGCTGTTGTTATCAATGTGGTAAAGTAATACCACAGCCTGCCACCAGAGTGCATTATCAGTGCGATATCTCTATTTTATTGTTGTCAATACCTATTTATCGACCATTCAAAGCAATACACTCTTCACACCTAAGCTCATACACAAACACTGATTACACACCTGACTATAATCTCTGCACTGTCAGATGTTTCTGCCAACTCGTTCGGCACAATCATCACGTGGAGCCTGTAATTTTATTTAAGCTAAACAGAAAATACAAAGTTCTCGGTCACATTTTCCCTGGTTTAACGGTTAATTGATGGAGGTCGCTAGTTTTCATGTCGCTATCATGATATGTATGTTACTATCCCATTATCCATGAGTGATCTAGCATCCTAACACACCCAAAAATAATTAACTCAATATATATATTTGTATCTCATTTACAGTATTGCCACATGATATTATCTCTGCTTTCATACTGGTAAATGAAATATACCTGTAACACATTGGCTAAAATAAGGACGTAACGTAATTCACACATTTTAATGAATTGTTAACCTTGTAAAAGCTTAAAAATTCCTAGCGTCATTAATTGCATCTGTCCTGTGCATGTACCAGGTGCAAATATGCGTGTTATATAGTTCCTGGCATTTCCTTGCAGACCAGCTAGGGAGGTCCTGAACAGGTGAAGCTCTAATCACTGTGAAGCCCTGAGCTGGTGAAGCCCTGGTCACAGTGAAGCCTCTCTGATGGCAGAATCACAAGATGACCTTCCTTTGCATCTGGCAGAGCTGGGTGAGTCTGACAGCTTCACATATCGAACTCTTGTGTGCTTTCCTCTGCTAACGACGCCACCTTTTCATCACCGCACATGCTCGCAGCAGCCCTACAGCAGAGTAAAAACTAGCAGGATGTTTGTTTTATAAACTAGCGCAGTGTAGTTAAGGCTTAGATATACATGAGCTCATGCGCAGGCTCTCTGGTAATCACTTGCACCTTTTATAATACTTCTCATTGACCCTATATTCCCGGAATGTGGTTTTATGTGGCAATAGGTGTCGCCGCTAAATGCTGGCTCTGTAAACCTTGCCACACGTTCATACGCCATGCATTAGTCATCCGACTGATCGTAACACATTAACACCTTCACACACACTTGTATCACTGTGCATAACAGTATCAGGTAGTTGTACAGCCTGTCTTTCTGTAAATAAGTTTTAAGGAAATATGTCAGAGTGTGTGGAGAGTCAGAGAGGATTGCTTGTTATGAAGGCAGTAAATACGGTGACCAGTTGACCTATTTGTTAAGTTCGTTGTTGCTGTAAGCGGGCCAGCACTTACCCTCCCCCTTGCCTCTGCAGTGCTGTAACACAGTAACGTGATGTGAAAGTTAATCGGAGCTGAGGGAAAGTATCTGCATATTCACGTGGTATACGCTCCCCCACCCCCTCTCTCATTGCAGCAACGGGTGAATCATCAGCGTGCGTGTGACGCGATGGCATGCGTCCGGTCACGAATCCTCGAGCCGGATCGTTATTCATGCCATTATGTTAGCTTTCAGCTGGCTATAACCAGTGATGAAACATTAGCTTACATGTGAGTGTAATGTAATGTACGCATTACCCCCCCCCCCCCCCAGATCACGAACAAACGCAGGTGTAAAATACATCATCCGTTATGTGTAAAATGCAAACATTCTGCACCGGAGGCGTGTTTGAGCATCGATACTGTTTTACAATTGACATATTATGCAAACGTATCGTGCGCGCGAGCGACTGCGCAAATGTTGTCGCTGTGGCAACAATCCGGCCGGCACACGATATCGCTGTGTGATTTGCATTCCGTGAGTATTACGTCGCGAGTATGACGTCGCCGCGTACCTGCAGTAACGAAGCGAGCGCGAACAGGTTTAACGAGTGATTACAGGTGTGTCAATATTGCGTGAACGGCCCGCCCGCCACGCCATCCGCATTTGACTCTGACTCGGTGAGGCTCGCAGCAGGGCTGGCTGCTGCTGCTACTGCTGCTCGGGGCGATTTTTATTAAACCTTGAAATTCGTTTCGTGTAAACATCTGAGCGAGCGAGCGAGCATGGGGCGCATTCACCCCGGCTAGCAGGAACACGTTAACTTCCAGCCACCGAGAGCACCATTAACGTGAACGTACCTATCCATACACCGTGCAAACGAGCTCGCGCACGCACGCACGCACGCACGCACGCACGCACAGACGGACGCACACTGTGGGTATAGATCATGTATTCATGGTAACAGTAACAAGTACGTACCAACAGTAATACAACAAAGTACCAACGGCCATGTCTGATTGTAAGAGTTCTAGTGTGAAATCTGTCGGCGGTCTCTTCGAGGGGGTGGGGTTGGGGGTGTTGGTCGCTCGGGTAGCGTCCGAGGCATTATCTGGTCACTTCGGCCTCTGGTCACCTCTCACAGCGAGAGAGAGTGACCGTTGGGAAGTCAGTTGGGCGAGCCAGGAGGGGGACTCTTTAACAACTAGGTGCTGTCAGGAGGTGCTATCAGATGGCGCTTATAAGGTATATAGGCGCCTTACGTTGAGCCGCCGGCTACATTCACCGCTTCTGTTGTTGTCGGCCCCGCCGTGGTTGCTCGCTCACCGGCCATCTGGTGCATTTTTTGTCCCGAGTTACTGGGCAATAGTTTATGTGGGCTGGGGAGGGGGGGTGGTCGGTTGGGGAATTAGGGTTTGTGGCAGGCACGAGCTCTCGGTGGCGTTGTTGCTGGTGCCTGCGCGCGCGGGCTGCCTTCTCTTGCAACAACGCACGTTTGTGTCGAAAAAAAGATTGCGAAAAGATTAAAAGCGGTTACATGTATGCGCTGCTTGTAGAGAGCGATAGGGATATATAGAGAGAAAATGAGAGAGAGAGAGGGGGGGAAAGAGCGCGAGAGCAAGAGAAAGATGGATAGAGAGAGAGAGAGCGAGCGCAAGAAATAGAGAGGGGGAGAGGGGAGAGAGAGCGCGAGAGCAAGAGAGCGAGAGAGAGAGAAAGAGAGAGCGCGCGCGCAAGAAATAGAGAGCGGGAGAGGGGGGAGTAACAGAAGCGAGGCGTCGTCGTATGAAGGTCCCCCCGCTCTGTGTAGTACCGCCACGCAGCACTAGTTGACTTCATGAGAGACCGGAAGATACGCACTGCGTGAGTGCGCGCACAAGTCGTAAACGTCGAACATAGACAAGTAACTGTTCTCTCTGCATGCATCCATCGTGCGGCGCGTACGCGTGCAGCGGCTATACTAGCCACACAGCCGCCATGGTCAGCCCGCATGTGTGCCGTACGCTAATTTCAAAAAGAAGTCAAGAGTAGAGAACGCATCGATGAGCGGGGAGTCGCACGCGCACACGGACAGAGCTCGCCTGTGTGTGTGCGTGAAGGGGGAAGTCGTCCGACTCCAGCCGAAATCACATGGGTGGCAGGGTAGCGAAGATTACAATACATGGCTGCTATTTTCGTCGAAAAATCAGGTTTTTTGGCATCGGCGGTACGGTGGTAGCGGCGGCGGCGGTGGCAGTATCGTCAGACGTGCCTCGAACCTTGACGATGC